TCAGAGCGGCAGCCAGGCAAGCCGCTCGGGGCACGTAGAGGAAATGTTCCCACGTGCTCTCCTCTTTCTTCGGCGGGGCAGGTGGAGGAATTGTGCCGTCACAAGGAACCCTGCAGGTTGATGTTTTTCTTTGAGAACAGCCCCTACTTCCAGAACAAAGTGATTGTTATGGAGTATCACCTCAGCATTGCTGGTAAGTGTGGGCTTGAGCTTCGAGGATGATAGGGGTGGGCAGGGGGGCACTTGGGAGCAGGAGGGGAGGTGCGCGGGGGCCCCCCGAGGAGGGGGCGGGGGCGGGACCCTGCCCAGGAGGGAGAGAGGCTTGGAGGTTGAGAGGAACAGAGGGCAAGAGGGCGTGGGTCCTAGGCCATGGAGAGGCTCTCCTAAATTTTCCATTCCTGCAGGATAGAGGGCGTCTCGTTCCATCCAGTGCAGTGGTTCTGGGACTATGAACGTGGAGCTGCCAGGCGCAGGCACGACACCACCGGCCTTAACTTCTTCAACTCGTTTTTTGACCCCAGCTGCCCAGGGTCTCACAGGATCGCCGAGATGGGGCCCCCGCGGCCTTCGTCAGCCGGGGTGATGCCTGAGCCCCAGGTGCTTGGGAACGGGTCATCATGGAGGACCTGTGGCCCAATCCCCTGCAGTACTACCCGAGGCAGGAAGGCAGCCGAAGGGAATGAACTGAGAGGAGGGCCTGTCGGTGAGAAGCCAGTGGGGCTGGGTCCAGACGTGTGTGTGTGGAAGTTGCTGGGGGACAGGCCAGCTAGCAGTGGTGAAACTGTTGCTCAGGGGAGTCTGCGCCCCAGTTTGCCCATGGAGCAGGTGGCAGGGTGTGAAGGGAACCTGGGGGAACTCAGGGCACACATCCCGGGGGGTGCATCCATGCGGGCATGGTCAGGCCCCCAGGCTGGCAGCTGAAACATCCTAGATTACTTGGGAGAAGCGAGGATTCTCCACCCCGTTTCTCTGAACTGTCACCCGTGCCCGTCGACCCTCTCTCAGGCTCCTGCCGCTCGTTCCGGTGGGGTCCTCCTGTGAGTCTTTGGGAGTGAGGCTCCCTTGTTCCATTCCTGCTCCTGTGCCCAGAATCCCCAACTAAGTCCATGTTCCGGACCACCCCTGGCCTGCCAAAGCCACACGGCCATTCTTGGGAATGGCACTGGGCCATGAGCTGGGGGATCGTGAGGCCCTATCTGAGGAGGAAGTGGGGTGCCACAAGGTCAGAGGACACCCTCAACACCACCTTGGCTATCCTTGGCATTATGCAATTTCATGAATCCCTAACGTGTGTGTGTTTGTGTGTGTGTGTGTGTGTGTGTGTTGCGAGCATTGTAGCTGTGTGGACGTGTACACCGCAGAGCATCAGAATCTGACCAACAAGAAGAATACAAGGAGGCGTCCATCGTTGTGAGAGATGGGTGGACGAATCTACGTGGTTCTGTGCCTGCACAGAACAGAAGTGGGGGAAATGATTACCAGTGGCAACTCTGGAGAGTATCCAGCACCTATGTAGGGACGACGAGAGAGGCATAAACAAGTCAGGAACCTCTTTGCATCTGTGTGTGGGTTTGCACTAGGAGGCAGCACATGGCGAGGAGGCAGTCAGCCTAGGGGAACCCTCCAACCAATGGTTGTGGGACTCCATGTGAGGCGGTGATATTCAGCATGGGGCAGGGCAGGGTTTGGCATGCGGACAGAGCATCCCCCATCCTAGTCAGGGTCTAGGAGGAGGACGGAAAATGGCAGACCTCTCTTCATGGGAGCCTTGTCCCTTAGGGCAGGGTACTCAGGTGGTGAAGGGTCCTGGTGAGCGGGGCCCTCGTGGCCTTGTGGCTCCTCGTACCGCTGCATTGACACCGCTTGGGGAGCTGGGCCCAGTAGCCTTGCTCTTGGATGTGTGCCCCACACTGCTGTGATGTGGTCCCATGCATGTGTCCAGTCAGGAGCACCGCAAGACCCACGTGTCCTGGGGAGAGTAAGGAAGAGGCAATTCCTTGCGCTCTCTGCAGAAACACGCCCTCCTGCGCTCCATCAGCTGCCCATGGGGTACTGTTCCAAGGCCGTGTGAGGGAAGGCAGTTGCATGTAGTGAGCACTGTGGCTTTGTGAGTGGGCTGTGTGTGAGGGAGGTGCATGCCCAGGTTCACGTTCGGGTGTGTGTGTGCACACATGCGTGCTTGTATGTGTGCTTGCACGTGCGGCCACCTGAACATGCCTTTTGCCACGGATCGTGTGTGTTGGTGCGGTTTGTGTGAGTTTGCATGCTCACGTGAGTGTGTGGCAAGAGTGCATGCCTGTGGATCGGAGACCATGTGCTTTGGTGGGTGTTTCAAGAGTGTGTGTTTACAGGGGCATGGGTATGTGTGTTTGCGAGGCCACGTGTGTGTGACAGTGTGTAGGGACCCTGGGTGCTTATGTTTCATGTGCATGTTTGCATGCCCACCTATGTGTTGATGTGTGTGGCCAAGTGTGCATGCTTGCGTGACATACAACTTGTGAGTTGGTGGGTGTTGCCTGAAGTCTGTTTGCACATGGATGTGTGTGTGTGCGTGTGCACCCAAATGCACATACCTGGGTTCGGTCACTGTGTGTGTTATTTCATGCCAATGCGTCTTTGCATGCTTCCTACGTGTGTATGTGTGTGGCCAAGTGAGCGTTTCTGTGTGTTGGTGACAGTGTGTACTTCCCAGTGTTGTGTGTGTGTTTTCATGTGCACGTCCGTGTGTGTTCCTGGCAAGTGTGCATGAAACTGTACTGGATATCAAATGTGCTGGGCGTGTATTTCCTGAGTGTGTCTTTGCCTGCGCACGGTGGTCTGTGTTTGTGTGACCAAGTGTACATGCCTGTGTGCAGGGACCGTGTGTGTGTTGCGTGGTGTGTGTGTTTCCCTGCGCACATGAACGTGTGTGTGCATGCGAGCAGAAATCAGCTTAGCTGTTTGTGTTATTCCATGGGTGTATTGCGTGTGTGTGTGTTTTCAGGCTCACCTGGATGAATGACTTTCTGCAGGGTATGTATGTATGGACATGTGCCAGAGACCTTCCGTGTGAGGTTTGTGTGTATGTTTGCTTGCATGCACAAGGGTATCTGTTGTGTGTCTGCGTGTTTGCAGGCCTTTGGGTGATTGTGTGTGTGTGGTTTGCACGCGCAACCGCGCACGCCTTCTGTAACCACCTGTACATGCCTCTGGGTTAGAGATTGTTTGCGTGGCTGGTGTGTATGTGTTCCATAGCACGTGTTTGTGTATTTTTGTTGTCATGTTTGCACACCTGTGTGCCGAAAATACGTGTGGGTGTGTGCGCGCTGCATGTATGTGTGTTGGCATGAGGTTGTGTGGTGTGTGTGTGCCTGTGGGTGTGGAAATAGCGGTGTATGCCTGTGTACTGAAGTCCGTGTGTGTCCCTTCTGTGTCTCTGTGCTGTATGGGCCGTGTGTGTGTGAGTGTGTGTGTGTGAGTGTGTGAGAGTGTTTGTGTGAACGTGTGTGTGTGTTGCTCCGGGGTCAATTGTGTTTTCTTCTGTACTGGAGAACGTTTGTGTACGCTGTGGGTGTGGAATTACACGTGCAAAATGTGTGTGTGTTGAGAAGCTCATCGTACATGCCTGTGAGCCAGAGACTTTGTGTGGGTGCATGTGGGCATGTGCATGAACACGTGTGTGTGTGTGTGTGTTGGTGCAGCTCAGTTGCGTTCCTGTGTGATACAAACAGTGTGTTTCTGTTCCGTGTGGGTATAATGAGGGCAGGTGTGTGTGTGCATGTGTCTGGGTGAGGGCCAGTTGTGTATGCATGTGTCCTTACGACCGTATGTATTTGTTCCACGTGTGTGTGTGTGAGTTCTTGGGCGGAGGGGGCTGTGTGTGATAGTGCCGGGTCACACGTATATGGCTGTGCCAGAGTACTTGTGTGAGTGTTGTGCGTGTGTTTGCGAGCGCAAGTGTCTGTGTTTG